GAGGCACCAAGGCCCGGACCTGGGCCCAGTCCTTCTCAGTGGGAGCCCCAGACGTGACGAGGATGACAGCATCGTAGGGGGTCGGATGACGGGTGGCGGCAGTGCCTGTGGGGCCCAGAGGCACGGTCCAGAGCACCACATTGGGACGCTCAGGGGCCGGGTAGGGCGTGGGCTCCACGGGCACCGAAGCAGGCGCGGCACCTGGGTCGCCAGGATCCAACCCGAGCAGCAAGTCCAGCACAAGGCCCACGTCGGCTGAGCCCGCCACAGCCAAGTCCAGACGGGCGCTGCCTAGGCGTTCCAAGCCGGCTCGCACCCACGACAGCGCCGCCTCCAGGCCACCTCTCTCGAAGGCTTCCCGCACAGCCTCCAGCTCCGCTGCGCCCAGCACCTCGAAGCCATCCTGGGCCGCTGGCAGAAGCCTGCAAGGACAAGGAAGGATGGAGTCAAGGGTAGACTATCTAGACGCCTGTGTACTGGGCCCGGCAGACAGCCGAGCTAAGATGACGAGGGCGGAGCTTTTCAAATAATCTAGGATTGCTGTGTTGATAGAAGGGAGGGCCCAAACAGATCTCAGAGCAAATAGAAGTAGGGCGGGGCTATGGAGATCTCTCCGGACTCTCCCGATGGGGCAGCAGACCTGTGGCCCAGTCCCTGATGCCAAGATGCAGTCCCTGGAACGGGCTTTTCGAGGGGGCCTGCGGAGTAAGAAAAGGCTAGGAGTCTGCCTTTTGGGCGAAGCAAAGCTCACAGTAAATGTGGACAATGGGACAAAGAAAGAATCAGGGCTGTAGTGTGGCGTAAATAAAAGCCAACACTATTTGATAGAAATAAGGTCCTAAAGACACTTTTTCGGGAAGGGTGGGAGAAGGAAGAAAGGAGGACTAGTGAAAGGAGAAGCTTCATCTACTAATTCCTACCCAGGGGATGTGGCTACAGAAAAAGGTGAGCAGCGGGCCAGTGGGAGGGAGCTTCCAGCCTATAATGTGGCGTAGCGTCTAAGGCACTTGACTGCTAACCAGAAGGTTCAAACCCACCAGCCGCTTCTACGGAAGGTTGGGCAATCTACTTCCGTAGTGATACGATACCTCCTTGGAAACCCAAGGAGGGGTCACTATGAGGTGTTTTTTTTTTTTTTTTTTTTTTTTTAAATATAGCTCATGAGGCTAGCACAGGACCAAGCCAACAGTCCCGTCGGTTATACAAGATGTCGCCATGGGTCAGGACGACTGGGCAGCAATTAACAACAGCGAATGGGCACAGAAGCCAGGGTAGACTGGAGAAGGGGCTCTCAAATGATAACGCTCATTGAGGGCGGGGCTTTACGGCAACAGGGCGACTTAGGACCAAGCTGATGGCAGGGACTGTTCGCAGGTGCGAGTCTTAGGGTAAAACCTTCGCAGGTATCACAAACTCATGTGATGAAAGCGAGCCCTTCTTCCAAATTCCGGCTGTGGGTAGTACCCGGGCGATAGGTCCGGACCCTTCCTAGAATTCTCATTAGGAAGAGGCACCTAGTGATTTCAGAGCTCTCACAGGAGGCGGGACTTGCATGACAGACAGGTCGGTAACTGCAGCAAACCCTTGTTGGGGCGGAGCCAAAATAACAGACAGGGTCAAGCACAGAGCGCTCGCTTGGGGTGGAGCCTGGCTGAGCTCAAAACCTGCGTGGAGGGGTGAGGCCTGGCTGAAGGAGTTGGGCAGCCCGCAGGTATCTGATTAAGGCTTCCTCAAAACACACTAGGGGTGGGGTCTCGAGGACCTCAGAGAATCCCTCAGAGGACTGATCTGGGCTAAGGAACCAGCCCTCCCCGCCCCGCCCCGCCCCACCCTCACGTCAGTGAGCCCACCTCTGCAGCTTCTCCGCCCGGCTCTGCAGAGCCGCCCGCAGGCGCTCTAGCTCCTCGCCGCCCTCGCTGCTGCTGCAGTCCGCTGGTAGCACGAAGAGGGCCGCGGGTCCTAACCCGGCGCTGTCCAGCAAGGTCGCTGTCTGATCCCGGGCTTGGGCTTCATTCTGTGAATTCCCGGGACGGAGCGTCCGCACCACCAGCAGCGGGGTCCCTCGGGCCAGGGCGGCCCGCGCTGCCTCCCCCAGCGCCGGGGGCAAGGCCTCCCCATTCCCCTCGGGTCCGGGCAGCACCAGTACCAGCACGTTGGCCTCCGCCGCCCAGGGCCCCGGCGCTGCGGGTGGGCAGCTCAGCTCGCCCAGAAAAAGGCCGGGACCCGCAGCCCGCAGGCTGGGGACTCCGGAATCTGGCCGTCCCTCGGGCGGTTCCAACGTCTCCACATCCTTGTCGCACAGCGCTGCGATCAACGCAGACTTCCCCGTGCCCGGGGGCCCCAGGAACAGGGCAGTCACGTCACCGCGCGGCGGAGCCATGGCTGCAAAGCAACACGCGAGTCAGGGAGCCCTCAACCTTTTTCTTTCCTAGTTGCCCACAATGAAACCAGAATTCAGTCCTTCACCCCCATCTCCTTCTCCCATCCTGGGCCTCACTCCCCAGGACCTAGAAATCCAGCGACCAGGCCCTAGTCCCCAGGGACCCAGGCATCCAGTGCGCCCTCTTCTGAACGCACGTTTCCCTGATTGAAAAACTCAGAAATCCTGGCCTCCAGCCTCTCCTCCCTCGGGGACACAGGAATTTATCCTTCCCACCCCCATCTCCCGAAGAACTTCCAAATCACCAACCGAGCAAACAGGCGACACACTGGGAGCGCAGATCCAAACGACTGGACTAGCCTCTGAGAAGCCCCGCCTCTTAGGCCCGGCGGACGGAGGCCTAAACGGTTCGAACGCCTGGATTTGGGAACGTCTGGACGAGTTCTGGGAGCTCTAGCCTGGCGTCACTCCCTCTAGGTGGGGCTGTGTCTTCAAAGCGTGACCTCGGATAGGCAGCCCCTCGCAGCGCCTGCGCAGAAGAGCTTACGTGCGCTTGCTTCCCAGCTCAGATTGCCTCTGGGCCTGGGAACAGTAAGGGCGCCAAGGCGCCTGCGCGCTTCCCCACTCGCGCAATAAGCTTACGTTTGTACGGTACAGGTGCCTCGTAACGTCATCACAACAGACCCCAAAGCAAAGAAGGACCCAACCTGTTATTTTGAGGACCTGGTTGGTGCAACTGTACCATTGCCGGATGGCAGTCCGGAATCTTGGCTTCGAGAGACTCACCAGGCGGAACGGCGCGGAAACCACGGAGACCCGGAGATTCGGTGGGCCCTACCCCGCTTCTCTCCGGGTGGTGGCGCTGTGGCGCGCGACTAACCGGCTCAGTGAAAGGCAGTCTTCTGCTGTACGGAGAAAAGCCGAGGCCTGGGCTACGGACTTTGGGAGGGGGCAGCCGAGGCAGTGCTTGGAACACCCGGACAGGGCTGGAAAAAGCGCGCGTGGGAGGCGGGGACTCTGGGAAAAAGGTGGGTCACAGGATGCCAGAGGGATGCCCCCCGAGGAGAGGTGGACTAAAAGCTGGGACAAACTTCAGGTAGAAATACCCCAAGACGCATGGTAGAGACGCGGGTGAGGGAGATCGGCTGGTATCAAGACCGAGCCCCACGCTCCGAGTTCCCGGAGTTAGTCTGATGCAGAAGGCCCTAGACGCACCGGTGAGAAAGAAGTCTCTAGCGGACTCCCAAACCCCGGGGTGTCGAACCTTTTGGGAGGTTTGAGTTTCTCGCTAGTGAGAGATCAGGTTAAGAGTGCAAGGAAATTGAGTCAGGGTTGGCAAGGAGAGCCACTGCCGAGGTCAAAAGTCTCGGGACTAGCGGGCCCTCCGCGCTGTGACAGGGTAACATCCTCAGTTGACTTGACTACTCATGCACGCTCCTCTCTTGACTAGAGGGGTCCCAGTCACGATGGAGGACCCGCACCCCAAAGAGACCATGGAGCAGCAGGCCTCGTCCAAGGAGAGGCGTCCGCGCAGTCCGGGAGGCGGCTTCTGTGAGTACTGTTGGCCAGACGCGGGTGGCGTGCAGGAGCTAGCTTTTCAGGGCCCAGCCTTGCCCATTGCTAAGGGGCTGTCCTACCGGACCACCTCTCCTTACCACCCTCACATGCACCCACCCTGGTCTGGCTACACAGGCAGGTATGGGATGCAGTTCAGAGGGACTGCACAGGAGGCTTGGGGTGGGAGACGTGGCCAGGAAAGGGCGCACACTGAGAGGAAGCCTGGGGTTCCAGGCCTGCCTCTGCCAGCACTTACAGTGTGGCCTGGGCCTCAGTTTCCCTGTCTGTCCAGAGAGGCTGCCACTACTCACTTCACAGGGCTGCTGTCGGGATGCGCAGCAGAAGCCGGGAAAACTCAGCGGGTAGCCAGCTACCTGATGCTTATTACGTTTGATATTCTTTATTTCATTCAGCCCCCCAGTAGACTTTAGGAAGTTGGTACTGTCTCTGTAAGATGAGGGAATCAGGGCAGAGAGGTATAAGCAGAGCAGTAGTTTCAATGCCTGCCAGCCAGAGACCAACACACACCTGTAATCGAACAAGTTAGTTAAGACACACTGTGGGGAATGTGGAGCTTCTTGGGAAGACAGGAAAAACAGGATTTGGGCTTAAGTCATTTTGGGGAGGGTTCGAGGAGGCAGGGCTTGGCTCTGGGTGGGAGGCTGCCAGGGGCGATTCTATGCTTGGGTATGTTAAGTCTTACTAGGAGGAGGGAGGAACGAAGCCAAAGATCAGGCTGTGATTGGTAAAGCAGCCACCAGCAACAATGACGCTTATTAGCCACAGTGAACTCAAAACTCACTGCCAGTTGTTTCTGACTCATCACAACCCCTCCTTGGGCTTCCGAGGCAGTCTTGCTAGGGAAGTAGATTGCCTGGTCTGACTTCCACAGAGTGGCTGGTGGATTTGAACCGCCAGTCTTCTGCTTAGCAGTCAAATGCCTTAAGCACTACACCACCAGAGCTCTTGTTAGCCACAGTAGGTGGCTGTTAGGGAGCTCTGGTGGTGTAGCGCCTAAGGCATTTGACTGCTAACCAGAAAGCTGGTGGTTCAAAGTCACCAGCCACTCCGTGGAAGGCAAACTGGGCAATCTACTTATGTAAAGATTTGCCGCCTCGGAAACCCAAAGGGGGTTGCTCTGAGTCAGAATCGACTCGGTGGCAGTGAGTTTGGTTTTTCTGGTGAGGGGGCGTTTGGTCATTTTGAGGTTCGAACAACATTCACGTGCTGTGTTCAGGCACGATTACGGCGTGTTTGATTCATCCCAGCCCCAGCGTGGCCTCCTCTGATCTTGATGTTCTGTGCACCATTTGTGTTCCGCAGGGGAACACGCAGACCTAGCTGAGAGCCAGGCTGCCAGATGTGGAGCTGGTTTTCTTTCCCAGCAGTTTAACGATTGCCAGCTGTGTATAGCCCTCCGTGTGGCCTCCTCAGGCACTGTTCTCTGTGTTTCCTATCAATTAACTCCTCATGTATTCCTTCCAGGAGCTCTGGTGATGTTGTGCCTAAGGCATTTACTGCTAACCAGAAGGCTGGCAGTTCAAACCCACCAGCCACTCCTTGGAAGGAAGACTGGGCAATCTACTTCTGTAGAGATACTGCCTCAGAAACCCTAAGAGGGGTCACTATGAGTCAGAAACGACTCGTGGCAGTGAGTTTTTTGTATTCCTTCCAGCAGCCCTTTGGGGTGGGTACTGTGCGCACCTCATGTTCCAGATGGGGAATCTGCTGTACTTGCCTGTGAAGCGGGGGAGCAAGGAGTCAATCCCAATCTGGCTTCAGAAGCTGTGCTATAACACCACACGGCTCTGCCAGACCACCATGCTGTCTGGGTTCCAATCCTGGCCCCACCATTTCATCCCCTAACCTCTCTGATTCTCAGTCTGCACATCCAGAAGTAGGTCCAGTAGTAGTTTGCCCATCCACACCCCTAGCCCAGCCCTGGCCCAGAGCCTGGCACACAGTGACCACACACCGTTGATTGTTAACGTGGTTCGGAGGTTTAGGAGAGGTCCTGGAGGTGCCTGCTGGCCTCCCCCGACCTCTCCCCACGTCCCTCAGGCCACCTGGGGGCCCCACAGTGCACCCGCTGCCTCATCACCTTTGCCAGTTCCAAGTTCCAAGAGCGTCACATGAAGCGCGAGCACCCAGCGGACTTCGTAGCCCAGAAGCTGCAGGGGACACTCTTCATCTGCTTCACCTGCGCCCGCTCCTTCCCCTCCTCCAGGGCCCTCATCGCCCACCAGCGCAGCCACGGGCCAGCCACCAGGTCCTCCCTGCCCATTACACCCACCGCTGCCCAGCCCACCTTCCCTTGTCCTGACTGTGGCAAGTCCTTCGGGCAGGTTGCTTCTCTGAGGCGGCACCGCCAGGCACACGAGGCCGGCGCGGGTCCTGGCCCCTTCGCCTGCACCGAGTGTGGCCAGGACTTTGCCCAGGAAGCTGGGCTGCATCAACACTACATCCGGCATGCCCGGGGGGAGCTCTGAGCACGGCTTAAGCCCTGTGCAGGGCAACGGCGGCTGGACCCACCTGGGACATGGGGCGCAGGTCCTCTAGGGGCCCTGGAGGGATTTCCCTCCCCCAGGAAAGCAGTGGGCTCCTGAAAAATAAACCCCAGAAGATTCTCATTTGGGGCTTTGGTCTTTGGAAGACATGAAAACCTTTAGGAAACCAGTAAAATTAGACAATAGTGAGAGCTTGTTTTTGGTTTTTTAAAAAAGTGCACAAGACAAGAGCAAGAGGAAAAATGTTCTTTGTATCTTCCTTATTTCCAATTAAACAGTTTGAGATTCCAATAAGCAGCAGATAGTGTCATTTGCCTTTAATTCCTCCCAGATGGACACCATGGGCGGTAGGAACAAAGTGCCCTGGATCTGTAAAGGGCGAGGGGCAGAGGAGCTGTGGTGTCCCGATGGGGGCCTGTCCTTGGAAATGGCATACTTTAAAGATGGGAGCCAGGCCCTGAGCCATGGGGAGGGGAGCAATCAAGTCCTTGTCTCTTCTGACTCCCTGCCAGCCTCTGCACTCAAGGAGGGGCCATGGCATTGAATGGCAGTGGCCCTTCTGATCAGTTAGGCCCCATTTAAATAATTTTGGGTACTGTTCCAGTGATGGAGTATTTTTCAGATGCGGAGGCAAGCCGGCACGAACCAACTAACAAATAGCATCTAAAAGCAGAAAAGATCTATATTGAAATGTCTACCCGGAGCTGAGGCTTTCAAACAGGAATCCTAGAGACCAGCCATCTAGCTTGGAATCCAACAGAGATACCGTCTGTTTAGTGTTTCATTTGGCCAACACCAGAAACAGATTTCCATTAAGATCCTATTTTCAGCTCCTTTGAAAGGCCCACCCCTGGGCTGACACTGCCTGCAGGGGCAGGCTGGGGCTGGGCAGTAGGTGTCACCCTACAGCTGGAGATGAGCCCCAGCCTGTCAGTTTACCCCTCACACGAGCTGTCCTGCCCTGGAGACAAGGGCGCATGCTCTGAGACTTTCTTTTGAGTTGAGGGAAGTTCTCAAAGCCCACAAAGAGAAGGATCCGTTCCCCCATGTTTAGCTAGGCACATGGCTGAAAAGACAACATTTCCCAGATCCCCTTGACATATTGCATTCTGGCTAACAGGATATAGAGTTTAGTTATGGACGATCTCTGGGGATTGTCCTTAAGCTTCAGGCCTCCACCTTCCTGCTTGAAATGTGGACACTGACCGACCTGTCTTGGACCATGAGCGACACGCAGAATGGCATAGCAGTGAGATAGCAGGAGTCTGGGTCCTCATGGGTGGTTGACTTCCTGGCTCAGAGCCGCGCCATCCTAACCCTAAAATATCCACCCAAGTCATTGTGTAAGAGAGAAATAAATGTGTCATGTTTCAAAAAACCACTGCCGTTGAGTCAGTCCAGACCATATGACCCTACAGGACAGAGGAGAACTGGCCCACAGGACTTCCAAGGCTGTACATCTGTATGAAAGCAGAGGTCGCATCTTTTTCCTGTGGAGCAGCTTGTGGGTTCAAACCACTGACTTTTCCATCAGCAGCCGAGCATTTAACCAGCGCACCAGCAGGGTTGCTTTCTATCTTGTGCACGCCACCGTTATTTTGGGGCCTGTGGCACATGCACCAGAATTTATAGGCTAAGGCAGGAGTGTGTAAACTACAGGCAAATCCAGCCTGCTGCCTGGTTTTGTAAATAACGTTTTATTGGAACACACACACACACAAACCCAAACCAAACTCACTGCCATCAAGTCTGATCCAACTCATAGCAACCCATCCTTGGGTTTCCAAGGCAGAATCACTATGGAAGTTGATTGCCCAATTTTTCTTCCGAGGAGTAGCTGGCGGGTTTGAACCGCCAGCCTTCTGGTTAGTAGTCAAATGCCTTAGGCACTATGCTACCAAAGCTCCTTATTGAAACACTGTCATGCTCATTCATTTATGTACTGTCTGTGGATGCTTTCACACATAATAGCAGAGTTGAGTAGCTGCAACAGAGACCAACCATATGGTCCACAGAGCCTAAAATAATTACTACTGGACCTTTTATAGACAATTTGGGGACCTCTTGCCTGACTGATACTTGTAAAACCTGCCGAATCTGGAACCCCCGTCCTGGAAAATATTAGCTCCAGCAAAGTGTGTATGTGTGGTTATTGTTTTAGGATTTGGGACAGAGCTAGCCTGGGCCTCTTTGCTGGAGGGATTTGGCTTCGACTCAGTTGGCCATTATATTTTTTTCCAAGACATCAACTTGAGCAAAGCCAAATATTTTCTCTGGTGCCTGATGAAAGCCCAGAACTTTCCAAGCCAGATGTCTTCACACCACCTCCAGAGAGGCTCCCCCAGTACAAGCCTAAGGCTCTAAACCAGCATGCTGTCCCAAGACTGGCAGCAATCTGCAAGATACACCCTTAGCTTCTCTCTCCCCACTTCCCAGATGTCATAGATTCTCAAGACTTTAAATAGCATCGCTGGTGATTTCAAGGATCTCAGTCCCAACACCAGACTTCCCCACCACCAGCCGCCTGGATGACGAATGGGAACCTCAAAGTTAAAACGGGTAAACGTGACTCCTGCAGAGCCTCCCAACTCCCATCATACTGGTAGACCTGTAAGCGCTGCTTTGGAATTCCGGAGTCTACCTACTTCTCACCCGCGAGTCACCTCCTTATGAGACCTCCGATTCTAAAGTTCTTGGGTTTGTTGTGCAAGGCTGTGGTCTGTAGTGGGAGCCCTAAATCCATCTGGAGCCTCGATGTAAGGTTCAGATGCCATTTGGGTTCTTTGACCATTAAACCAGCATTGTGGCTATGCATGGCCAAGTTCCAGGTCAAACATAGGGAGGGGCAGTTCCCCTTCAGGAAAAGTGTAGTTGAAAGTAGTTTATACTCACACAAGGAAGTAGGGAACTTGCCTGAGTGTCCTTTTCTAATTTAAATTAAGGTTGGGGTCTTGGTATTGTTTTGTAACCAACCTTGTGGCTCTGACTCAGGTTGCATGGTCATGAGTCACATATCCGGCCCAGTACCTAACCAGGTACTGGAGGCCCAGAACCAATCCTGTACCCCTATTCTATCTTCAGTTATATTCCCCATCCCGGTCCTTTCCTGTAGTCCCACCTGCAACGTGCTGAATGGATCTGCTGCCAATCACGATTTGGTGATGACTTTCAATTCTGTATAATTAGCCATGGCAGTGACTCAGCAGACTCCATTCAGCTTTCTGTACTGTGTACATGCTGACGTTTCCCTCCTCCTGGATGACTGTCTTGGGCCTGTCCAAGCTTAATAAAAGTGTCTGTGGAACCTGTTTGAACTAGGGGTCTCTTTTCCCCTTCCACCCACCTGCTCTCTCTGCCATCACTACTGCCCTCCTCCACTCTCTAGCAGACCACTCCTGTGCGCGCAAATCAGCCTACATCACTTCTCCGTTTAAAACTCTCCCGTGGCACCCCATAAATAAAACCCAGAAATTTTACTCTCTAAACCCAAGCATGTCCCCAAGCCTCCCCAGAATCCAGCCACACTCAGGCAGGCTCCTGCCCCAGGGCCTTTGCACTTGCTGTTCCTGCTGCCTCATTACCTGCAGTCACACCCCTAACTCTCACCCTGAGGTGTTACCTCCCTAGCACTCTTTAGTACCTTGAATCATTCACACTTCGTTTATTGATCACTATCTGTGTCCTTAAGGAGCTCTGATGGCACAGTGCCTAAGGCATTTGATTGCTAGCCGGAAGGTTAGTGGTTGAAGCCCACCAGCTGCTGTTGGAAGGAAGATGGGACAGTATACTTCCATAAAGATTTACCACTTTGGAAACCTGATGGGGGTCGCTATGAGTCAGAATCAACTTGATGGCAGTGGGTTTGGTTTGGTTTGATCCTTGTCCAAGTTCCTGAGGACAAGGAAGGGATGTGTGTCCCTCTTCCCTTCATGCCCAGCACCTAGGAAAGAGCTTGGCTGGGGGCTCAACGGGTATGCATTGCCTGCCCATTGTTTACCTACTGTCTCTCAGCCTCGTGGACACCCTTCCACACTGCTCAGTGATGCTGCAAACCGTTTCCTGGACACCCTTGACAGATGGCTTCCTTAAGTCCCGCCCATGAGAAGTATGGACAAAACACAGGCAGCAGACAGGCAGGACAAACTCACAGCTTCAAGGACAGGAAGTGTGGGTTCTGAAAGTGTCTAAGATCCTGTAATGGGTCAAAAACGCAAATGTTCATCTGGGCCAAACGGGTACCATAAATTCGTGAAGTAGGCAAAGATCTAAGGGGTCCAGGCGTGAGGCACTGGGGAACGGTGGCAAATAGGAGTGAATGCCCTGAGTAGGTGACTCTTACTCAGGTCAGGCAGACTACTGCCCCACAAGATTGTGAGTTCAGCAATCTAGATCTTACCAGCGTTCAAGAGAATCTAGAAACTGACATTTTTACATGAAATCTGTGCATTAGTAAGCAACATAATTTAAGGAAAAAAAAACCCTCAGTAACCCCCTGGAGACCGAATCTACCCCTGCAAGTCAGACGGTGCCTGTGGGGCCACTCTCCTGCCCCTTCTGGCCTGTGGCTTGATGGCTGAGAAGGTACGCCCTGATCCAACTGTCTGGGTTTAAACCTGGGCTCAGCTTCTTACTAGCTGCATGGCCTCCAGCAAGGAACTCAACCCCACTCACAGCACCTGTAAAATGGGTGTGACGATGGGCCCTATGTCTCAAAGCATTACTGTGAAGGCTCAAATTCCGTCCATATATTACACTTACCCGGGGCTAGCTCACTGAAAGCTCTCAGAAAATGGGACCCAGTTTCCCAGGGGCTGAGCTTTTATCAGTCATTGCTTCCTCTCACCAAGTCGGAACAATGGTTTACTGGGAACCTGCCGGCCCTCCCTAGCGTCCCCTCCCATCACCTTGCCCTGCCTCGTCAGGTCCAGCCTCCTGTTCCAAACAGGCTGTCACCGCAGGGCCTTTGCACTTGCTGTTCTGGCAGCCACGCGGCTCACTCCTCCTTCCCCGGCTCACTCCTCCTTCCCCGGTGGCATCTCCCCGACAGCCCTGTTTAAAGCTGCAACTTCACGCATACACGAACCTCCTCCATTCTTTTTCTCCCCGGTACTCATTACCCTCTTAACGTGCTATGTGTTTTGTAAGTTTACTTTTGTGACGTTTCGTTGGTTATACCGATTACTGTCTTTACCGTTATAGGCTCATCACCACAGAAAGGAATTTTGTTCTCTGCTGTATCCCCAAGGTCCCAGAATGGTGCCTACCATCTAGTAGGCACTCAATAAATTGGTGGATAAGTGAGTGAAGCGCTGACTTAATGATGGCCATTACAATAATTTGAGTTCTATTCTTGAAGGTTCTTGGTTGCCAAGCCTCTATGAATTAACACACGTAAAGCGCCTTAGAACAGGGCCTGGCACGAGGTGAATGCTCAGTAAATGGCAGCTATCATTAAAGTTTGGCTTCTATTTTTAAAGGCGCTCTGTTGCCAGGCTTGTATGAGTTAGTGCTTCCCACCTCAGAGCAACAGCCAAAGAACAGTTCCTCTGCCACTCTGACCTGACCTCACCTCTTCAAATCTCTCCTCTACCCCTCTGGCCTCCCTGGTGCCCTGGGCAACCTCCTGCCTGGAACGGTCTTCCCCACAGACCTGCACGGCTCCTCCATCACTGTCTTCAGGTCTCTGCTTGCACGCCACCTTCTCAGCGTGGACTAAACCCTGTGGCCATCCAGTTGATTCCGACTCGGCGATCCCACGTGCCTCGAGGAGAGCCGGGCTCCAGAGGCCTCCAAGGGCTTTAATCTGAGGGCAGCAGATCACCAGGCCTTTCTTCTGCAGTGCCAGTGGGTGGATTCAAACCGTCAACTCTTTGGTTTGTAGCTTTCAGCAGACCACCCACACCCCAGGGCCCTCAGGGAGGACAACACCGTTTGAAACTGCAGCCCGTCCCCGCACTGTTCCCACTGCTCTGCTTTTTTCCTGGCTCTTCGGTTTCCGTCGCCATCCAGCACATGCCACATCTTGTTTTGTTTACAGTCTCTCTCCACCGCCCCCCACCCCCACGCAAGCTCCTTTAGGACAAGATTTGTGTTTGATTCACTGGTATGTGCCCAGTGCTTAGCACACAGCAGGCACTCAAAAAAAAAAAAAAAAAAAAAAATCTGTGAAATGAATCAACGGATCACTGTCTCTACCTCAGTGTTGTTCTAAGGACTTGATGATCTCATGCAAACTGAGTGTGCCGGGAAAGCGGCAGCTGTAATTATAATTAACGTTCTATTTCTGTGAGTTCCTAGATGCACCACTTCCCTGGGTCGATATGTATCTATAGAGCACTTGGACCAGCACTTGGCACCCAGGAAGCGCTTGGGAAATGCAGCTGTAATTATAATTAAAGTCTCTTTGTGAAGATTTTCAGGCAGGATGGCAGAGAGCCCTAGCTGTCCTCTAAAAACCGCTATCTGCCCCTGGACGCTTGGCGGGACTGCCTTACCCAGGCTCCCCTGTACTCAGGTGTGGCCATGTGACTCACTGCCCAGCAAGGAACAGGGATGGAAATGTGTGGCTTCCGAGCTGGGGCCTGTGAGAGACCCTGTGTCCCCTTCACGCGCCTTCCTCTTTGGCCAACAGGAGCCTGACCATGGCTACCGGCCCTGGACTGCATGGGTGACTGCAGGCCCAAAGGGCAGCTGGTGGCCAAGCTGCAACACCCACTCCTGGACTGCCATGTGTGTGAGGACAAGCCTGTTGCCTTTGAGCGTTTATGTTTGGGGCTCTACTCGTTACTGCCGTTGGCCTACCTCACTGGTGCAGGCGCCACGCTTCTCTGAGTAAATACACAAGAATCACAATGAACCTGAGCATCGGCAAATGTTAGTTACCTTGGCAACGACGATCTTGCAGCTCCCGAGGCAGGAGCCCAGGGGATGGTGGGATAAATTCTCGCACGCATGCACAGGCCAAACACACACTGGACTGACACACACAGAATCTAGCTTTTATTCCGGCCTCCACACATCTACTGCTAAGACGACACAGATCGACGGTACCCCATCTCCCACAACCACTGGGCCCACCCCCTTTCCCCAACCCCCCTCTTTTGCCAAGTGCCCTGGGCGGGGCCCTGCCTACACCTCACCCCGGGCATGTAGCATGAAGTGGCCGTGCAGCTCCCCAAGGTTGTCGAAGGAATCCTCGCACTCTGTACACTGATAGGAGCCCTCCTCCTCCTCCTCCTCCTCCTCCTCCCCCCCCCTGCCAGCTGGCCGGCCCTCCCCAGCCCCCTCCCCAGCCCGAGGCAGCTCTTCCTCTTCCTCCCCGAGGGCCCTGCCTTCAGGGGCTGGTGCTTCCTGGGGGACTGTAGCGGGGCAGCAGAGCCGGCAAGGTGGGGTGCCTGGTGGGGCCTCCCCAAGGGGTGGGCGGCCACAGAGCTGGCAGGGCTGAGCCGGGGGGCCCGGGGGCTGGGCCGCGCGGGGGGCCCGACGGGACGGGCCACCCCGGCCGCCCCCCAGGCGCTGCTTCACCTTGTAGCCGGGGTCGTATTCGGGATCGTCGGTGGTCTCCTCTTCCTCCTCCTCTTCATCTTCTTCCTCTTCGGAGTCTGGCTCTGAGAGAGTGTACTCGGAGTCAGAGGAATGTTCAGGGCCTGTAGGGAGGACGGACGGGGAAAGATAGGACATCAGAGGACAGAGGGCCGTGGCCGGCAGTCTCCTCCCTGAGCCCCACTCAGACTCAGCCCCATATGGAGAGGCCCAGCGACTACCCTTCCCCTCCCCACGGAAGAATGCCCACTGCAGACAACAGGGCCTGGTACCCAGTAGGTATCAGTCTATGCGTCAAAGGAACAAATGTCTTACGAGAACTGCACCTCAGTGGCTTAATAACAACAAGAAGTAGTAACAACAATAATAACACAGGGAAGTCCATGGGAGCTGGAACTCAGTGACACCGCCGTGTTTTTCCAGGCCTCTCAAGTTTTCTGCCTTTGACGGGGTGCAGTCTGACCGCTTTTCTATCACTCGCTATTAGTGGAAAATAACTGTGTTTTCCTTCTTGGCGAGTTTCAGCTTTCCCAGGTTTTACTGTATAAGAGTCCTTTCCCAAACCCTTTAAGTATGTTAACGCACTAAATCCTCCCCGCACAGCTTTGAAGGAGGTACTATCATTAGGCTGGATGTGGAAACTGAGGTAGAGAGGAATGATGTTGACGGTCACACAGTTGAAACAGGGCCAAGCTGCATTCGGTGAGGGCCGTTTCAGGGAGCTGACCACTTGACCATTTGAACAGGGAGTTTAGGAAACTGAAACACACATACACACACACACAGGCATTCCTCATTATTTGTGGATTCTGTATTTGTAAATTTACCTACTTGCTAACGTATCTATCTGTAAGCCCAAAGTCAGTACTCAGGGGGCCTCAGCGGTCATTTGCGGACATAGCAGAACAGCGAAATGCGAGCTGCCACGACCCACACCCCCCCTGAGGTCGAGCCTGTTTCCACTCTCATTCTGTAAAGAAGCGTCCTTTCTGCAGTCTAGTTAGTTAGTCCAGGTTTTTCCCATTTATGTGTGTGTGTGTTTGCTGTTTAGAAGGGCCCCCAGCACAGTGCCGAAGTGCTGCCTCGTGGTCCTAAGCCCAAGACTGTCACGTGCCTTCTGGAGAAAATCCAGTGTTACATGCACTTCGGTCAGGCCCGAGTATAACCGCTGGACATGAGTTCAATGTTCACGACGAAACCATATACGGTCTCCTTAAAATTTTGTCAAGGTACATGTTTGTCAGTTGATGGAAATGTGACCACGACTCCCTGGAACCTAACCTTGGCATTGCCCGTAAAAGCGAGTTTGGTATTTACTTGTTCAGTGTCTGCAGTGACTTTATAAAACGTCAACCCAGATGCTGCGGAATCAACTCTGACATGTGGCCCCCAACGTAGGTCAGAGTAGAATGGTGCTCCAAAGGGTTTTCAGCGGCTCATTTTGGGGGTAAGTAGACCACCAGGCCTTTTTCCTGAGGCCCCGCTGGGTGAACTTGACCTGCAACCTTTCAGTTAGTAGCCGGGCACGTTAAATGCATCACCAAGAGACTTCTTATAAAACCTAACTACCACCAATACCGAGAACTAGCTACAGATACATATATTGATATATGTGGTTTTATGTGCATATTTAAGTATCTAGCTGGGAGCTCTGGTAGCGTAGTGCCTAAGGCACCTGACTGCTAACCAGAAGGCTGGAGGTTCAAACCCACCAGCCACTCCTCGGAAGGAAGATGGGGCAATCTACTTCCATAGTGATACTGCCTTGGAAACCCAAGGAGGGGTCGCTATGAGTCGGGTCTGACTTGACGGCACATACCAGGTCTATAATCTTCACAGATGCAGACAGCCTCATTTTTCTCCCACAGAGCTTGTGGGTTTGAACTGGTGACCTTTCCGTTAGCGGCCGAGTGTTTCACTCACTGCATCACCAGGGCCCCTTTAGGATACCTACAGGTATGTACAGTACTGTGCTTACATGGCTCTTATCGCCTAGGACAAGTTTCAGTTATAACAAAAATTTGGGAAAGATTTAAAGTTGATTTATAGGAAACAATGACATCAAGCAGTCACTATGCACGTACAGACTGATGATCAGGATGCCCTGACCACAGTGGAAATACTGGTTTTTTTTTTTTTTTTAAATATATACGTGTGTCTGTGTGTGTGTGTGTATATATATATACACACACATATACATATGTATGTATGTATGTATGTGTATGTGTATGTGTGTGTGTGTATATTTCTCTCGTTGTTGTCGTTATGTGCTGTCAAGTCGGAAGAAAAAGAACCTCATCACCATCAAGTCAGTCCCGACTTATAGCGAGCCCTCCTTGGGTTTCCAAGGTGGTATCTGTATGGAAGTAGATTGCCCAACCTTCCTTCTGAGGAGTGGCTGGTGGGTTTGAACTGCCAGCCTTCTGGTTAGCAGTCAAGTGCCTTAGGCACTATGCCACCAGAGCTCCTATACTATATATGTACATATATTTTATTTTTATTATGATTTGGGTGAAAGTTTACAGAGCACATTCATGTTCACACAGTAGTTCTTACATATTTTGCTTCACAACATTGACTGCAATTCCCTACAACGTAACAGCTCTGTCCCACTTCTTTCCCATAGTTACCTCTTCCCTGTATCCTTCCCTCATGCACTCCCACCCCACCACCCCTCCAGCTGTCTCCCTGTGCAAATACTGGCCTTCCAATCTCCCACGATTGATCGTTCTAAGGAATGTATCTACCTGGTGTAAGTGTTCACCCTATATGCCTCTCTGTTGTCTGGCTGGAAGCCACAAAGTGAGTTCAATTCCAGAACTGAGTAATACTGGCTTCTTCAGCCGTGCTGGCCGGAAACTGCCAAAGGATCTCCTGGAACGGAAACAGCTGTGTCCACCTGCCCGCCTTCTGCATTTTCCTCCAGCAGCCCAGGGCAAGCCTGTGAAAATGCAGCCAGTAGGGAGCCCTGGCTGCTTTACCCTCACTCATGTCCTCATTGGGGCCAGAGGCCACCTCCCTGACCCTCACCCCATCCTTGCAAGCCACTTCAGGCTCCTCACCGCTTACCACCAGACAGGCACCGCCACCTCAGAGCCTGCACCTCCCTCCCTCCCACCTCCTCAGCGACACCCTGGCCACCGTCTAACCAGCAACCCTTGCACAGCCCTCCTCTCACCCCGGTTTTATTTCTCTCGTCTTCTGGCTCACTGTATACGTTTACTTGTGTGTGTGTGTGTGTGTGTGTGTGTTCAGTGCCCGAGAGCAGGGACTTGGTCTGGGTCACTGCTGTGTCCCCAGCATCCAGAGCAGCGCCTGCCACAAACACCGTGCTGAAGACATTCGTGTAGGTCGGAGGCTCTGCGTCCAACTTGACAAGCCTTCTCTGAGGCCCTCATCCGTGCTGCTCCCTCTGCGGGGAACATCCTTCCCCTACTTTCCCCATCATCTTTAGGACCCGGTATAAGGCCTTCCTCCTCACCCCAGGCATTCAGGCACTTCTACTGAGCCTCTGGGGCTGGGGCTGTCTGTGTTCAGGCTGTCCTCCAACCAGACCAGGCAGGCAGGCCTGCTCTGATGCACTGCTGGGTCTGTGGCGTGGTCCAGCCCAGAATAGGGGAGAGACGGCTGAACATGCCTCCCAGAAGCTCCGTCTCTCTCCTGCTCTTGCCTTGGTCCACCTGTCTCCCTGCAATTTAACCTACACTTCCCGAGGCTTCAGCAGGGGCTGTTCCTGTCTGCAGTGCTGTTCCCCACTGTCTGCCTGGCGACCTCCTACTCATCCTTCAGGACCCAACACAGGCCTCGTCCTCTATGAAGCCACACCCCTGATGCCTGCCCCCCACCCCAGACTCTCAGGTAGAGGTATCTCCCTACTTCCCCCCAGAACCTCCCCCATCACTGTCCTGATTGCTCCGGAGCCCCAACATGGCTCCCCTATCAACTGGGACTCCACAGGGGCAGGCCTGGCTCATCTCGGGGTCCTCCACCCTGCACTGCCCTCTCACAGACCGGAGACTCCTTGAAGGAGGACTTTGGTCTGACCTAGCTCCAAGTCCTCAGCAAGGCCGAGCAGGAGTCAGCCTCAGGAAGCAATTGCCAAATGGCTGTGAAACCCAGAGCACACGCTCCCCTCCCCCAGGGCCAGGACCCAGCCCACCTCTCTCTTCCCACCTGACTTGACACCACTTGTCCTGCAAGGTCTTCAATGCCCACTATGACCTCACCCAGTTGACCCGTGAAAGGCAACCAGGTCGTTGTCCACGGCAACCAGGTCATCGTCGATGGCTACCAGGCTTTCCATGTACACTCTGACTCGCAGGACCACAGCCCTCTTGCTCCCACCATGCCTTCTCCACCTGCGAGACCCTCCAAGCCCAGCATGTCTCCCACTTCCACTGGACCTTCCGTGCCCACCATGTCTCCCAGGCCTGCTGGCTCCCTGAAGACCATTCCGGCCACGCCCCACACCTCCTCAGCCCCCAACTCGGTCACAAGCCCCAGCAGTTCCAAGTCCACGAGATCGACAAGTACAAGGACACCTTCTAACCGGCCCAGCAACAAGTCCCGGGTCAGGAGCAAGGCGAGAACGCCCAGCGGGGCCAGCACTGACACCAAGGCCAGCAAGGCCAGCGGGGCCAGCGGGGCGAGACGCCAGCAGAGAAACGCGCACAGCCGGGGCAGGACTCCTGGCAGAAGGGGAAGCCAGGACGCCAAGCGGTCACCGAGCAGGGCCAGCACCCCCAGCAGGGTGAGGACTCACGGAGCCAGAGCAGGCGTGCCCGGCAGGGGGAGAACGCCCACCTCTCAGCTCAAACACCATGTGGGGAGTGGTCCCAGCCAGCCTGGGACCACCAACCAGGAAAGGAGCAACAGCCAGCCTAGAGGTACGGGCGGGGAGAAGAGTTACAGCCCACCGGGGGCCTCGGCTGTGGGGAGCAGTTCTGGGGTGGCTGCCACCCCTAGCAGGGCAAAGAGTTACAGCCCAACTAGGACTGCCAGCCAGGAGAACAGTTACAGCCAGTCTTCACTGTCACCAAGGAAAGTGAAGAGTTACAGTCAGATGATCACCACCAGTGGGGAAAGGAGTTACAGCCCACTGAAGCTATCCAGCGGGGTCATTAATTACAACCAGCCTAGCGCATCAAGCAGGACTAAAAGTCACAACCGATCAAGGACCCCCAGCAGGACCAGAAGTCACAGCCGGTCTAGGACCCCCCAAAGGGCAAGAAGTCATAGTCGGAAGAGGACCCCCAGTAGTACCAGAAGTCAGAGCCGTAACAGATCTCATAGCAGGGCAAGAAGCCGCAATCGAAAGGGCACCTCCAGCCAAACAATTAGACACAGTCCGTCTAGAACCTATAGCAAGGGGAAAAGTCATACCCCATCTAGAAACCCCAGAAGAGAAAGACATCCTAGTCAACCGAGAAGCCCCAGTGAGGAGAGAAGTCACAGCTGGTCGAGAAGCTCCAGCAGGGAGAGACGCGGCAGCCACTCCAGCGCCTCCAGCAAGGACACAGAGAGCAGCCCCTCCAGGGCTCCCAGCAGGGAGAGAGATCACAGCCCTATCAAGAAGAGCTATCCCAGTCGAGCTAGAACCTCCCGCTGGGAGAGCGAGCGAAGCCGATCTGGAACCCCCAGCAAGGACAGAGGTTACAGCAGATCTAGAACCTCCGCGAAGAAGACTTATCCCCATCAGTCTAGAATCCCCAGCAACGAGACAAGTCGTAGCCGCTCCAGAACCCCCGACGAAGAGAGAGGCTACAACCAATGTAGAACTTCCAGCAATGAGAGAGGCCATGACCGATCTAGAACGCCCAGCGAGGAGAGAGATCACAGCCCATCTAGAAAACACAGAAGCTCCGGGTGGAAGAGAACCTCTAGCAGGGCAAGGAGTCCCAGTCAGAACAGAACCCTCAGCGAGACAAGGAGCCCTTCCCCAGGAAGAACTCGTGGCAGAGCCCAAGCCCCAAGACAGGATGATATTCACATCAACGTGACCGCGGCTAAGAACTCACCTGGGGAGAGGTCTTCATCATCTTCCTCTAGACTGGCGTAGCCCCCGGTCTCAGCTGGCTCACGGGTCTCTGTCATGGCCGGGGGAGGGGACAGGAGACAGGAGCAGAGCAGCAGGTGGGCAGTGTCCCTCCCCGGCCAGCTCTCCACAGCCACACCTCCAGCCACAAGGTCTTCCCCAAAGCAGACTGCTGGCAGGTTCAGAGGGATACTGTGAAGGGGGGGAAAGGAGAGGCCTGTGATGACTGAATAAAATGTTTACATAGCAGCCCCCCGCCCAGGCCCAGCTGTGTGTGTTCAGCACGTGGGGGTGGGGGAGATAAAGATGGCTGCAGTGTTGTCCCTGACCGCCAACAAGGCCTTGGCTGCGGCTGCCTGACCCTGCTTCTAGGCAGGCCTTAATTTCCCCATCCGGGCAACAGGCTTGTCTGTGGGTCTTATTTACAGTCCACGCAGCCAGCACAGGAACTGATGCAGGTGCCAGTCAGAACCAAGAGTGGCCGAGAGCCCTGCCAGCCCTTAAGTGCCTAAATTGTGGGGAGGTCTGGGCTTGGGAGAGGGTCCAAAGGGGCAGGCAGTTGAGGGTAGAGATTTTTTGGTGTAATGGTGTTATACCAATCAGAAAGTATTTCAATATTTAAACAAACAGTATAGCTGTACCAGTCTATGATCTCAGTTCCAGTTCTATAGCAATTTATACAGTGACACAGTAGGGTCTAGGTTCAAATCCTCAATCTGCCACTCTCTAGCCGTCTCACCTCAAGCAAGGACTTAACTCCTGTAGCCTCTTCTCTGTAAGAAAGGGGCTGCCAGGGCTTAAGTCCTGTTTTCCTTATAACAATGTTAAGAGATTACTATCCCCATTTGGTCTGATAGACCCTGGTTAAGACCGCCGAGACTATGGCCCCCTAGTTTCCCTTCAGGTCTGTAACTGAACTCACTCCTGTGGCTTCCAGCCAAAAAACAGACAGGCATACGGGGTGAACATTTATATCAGGTACACTCCTTAGAGTGAGTGATCAATCATGGGAGAACAGAGGGTGGTGTTTGCACAAGGAGACGGCTGGGAGGCAGGAATGCATAGGAAGGAAGGACACAGGGAAAAGGTAAACTACAGGGAGGAAGTGGGAAGAGAGCTGTTACATGGTTGAGAATTGCAGTCAATGTCATGAAACAAAATGTGTAAGAACTGCTGTACAGAAAATGAATTTGTTCTGTAAACTTTACCCAAATCATGATAAAAATTAAATCCCTGACCAAAAAAAAAAAAACCAAACCAAGAGAGAGAGATAAGGACCCCAAGTTCCCACCAGTTGAACTAGATACTGAACTAGAATTCAAAGCCATGTTATCTTCTTACCTCTCATAAAATGATCTCTCCCTTGAAAAGATTTTTTGAAGATTCAGTAGGTTTCTAAATATTAACTGCCGGGATATGGCAGGGACTCCAGGAACACTGGCTGTTGCTACTCCCACGCCCACAGCTCTATAAACTCCAGCCACTCCAGACTTCTCACCTCTTGCTGGGCATGCCAAGCCCTTCCACATCTGCTGCTGACTAGAATGTCCTAGAATGTCTGCTTGGAGAACTCACCCTTCAAAACCCACCTCAAACATGACCACCTCTGTACTTTTTCCCAGTCCAAATACCACCTCTTCCACGAAGCCTTCCCAGACTCTCTTCTCTCCCTCCTCACCATACACACCCACCCACACACTCTCACTCTCACACACTCTCTCATTTCCCACAGTACTCTCCAAGAAAGCCCTGGTGGCGCAATGGTTAAGTGCTTGGCTGCCAATCCACCTGAGAGAGATGTGACAGTCTGCTTCTGCAAAGATTAGTCTTGGAAACCCTGTAAGGCAGTTCTATTCTGTCCTTTAGGGTTGCTCAGTAGCTCTGGTGGCGTAGTGCCTAAGGCATTTAACTGCTAACCAGAAGGCTGGTGGTTCAAACCCACTGGCATGATCACACAACTCAGAAGGAAGATTGGGTGATCTACTTCCGTAATGATACCGCCTCAGAAACCCAAGGAGGGGTCACTAGAAGTCGGATCCAACTCGACGGCAGTGAGGTTTTTTTTAATATAGGGTCCCTGTGAGTCAAAAAGGAGCTTTGGTAGCATAGTGCCTAAGGCACTTGACTGCTAACCAGAAGGCTGGTGATTCAAACCCACCAGCCACTCGGAGGAAGGAAGGTTGGGCAATCTACTTCCGTAGTGATACGGCCTTGGAAATCCAAGGAGGGCTTGCTATGAGTCGGGTCTGACTCGGGGCGTCACATAGCAACAACAACGTAAGTCAGAATCCACTGCCTGGCAAGAGTTTACTCCTGGAAAGGGTTGCCAGATTTAGCAAATAAAAACAGAGGGGACCCAGTTAAATTTTAATTTGAAATGAACAAATATTTAAGATAAGTATGTCACTTGCATCAGAAGGAAGGTTGGGCAATCTACTTCCGTAGTGATACTGCCTTGGAAACCCATGAAGGGGTTACTATGAGTCAGGCCTGACTCGGCGCCTAACAACAACGACACTTGCAATATTTGGGGCATAATTTTCGTTGTTTATCTTAATTTAAAATTTAACTGGGTGTCCTATACTTTGACTACCATATACCAGAGACAATCAAGACTCCCCATGAAGCTACCAGGGGGCAATGCCCATCAGTTGAGCCTATCCTTCTCCAACCCCACATAACACAAGACCTCTTCCAAAAAATCCCACACCTCTGAAGACGGCATCCCCTGGTGCCTCATGCCCCTACTTCAGTGCCTATAGCTCACAGGATCTTACCAAAAACCAAACAGAAGTCACTGCCATTGAGTCGATTCTGACTCATAGCAGTCCCTACTGGGTTCCAAACCTGTAAATCTTTATGGAAGCAGACGGCTTCATCTTTCTTCCAGGGAGAGGCTGGTGAGTTAGCAGCCAAATGCCTTGACTACTACACCACCAGAGCTCTTCGAGATCTTCAAACTCAACAAAAACCAAACTCACTGCCATAGAGTCGGATGCGACTCATAGCGACCCCCACCTTGGGTTTCCGAGGCAGTGTTACTACAGAAGTAGGTTGCCCAACCTACTAGTCTGTTGTTATGGGCCCTCGAGTCGGGTCCGACTCATAGCGACCCCTCCTTGGGTTTCCGAGGCAGTATCACTATGGCAGTAGATTGCCCCATCTTCCTTCCGAGGAGTAGCTGGTGGGTTTGAACTGCCAGCCTTCTGGTTAGCAGTCAAGTGCCTTAGGCATTACGCTACCAGAGCTCCTTAGAGAGCACAAATGAAATACTACAAGCCAAACTGCCCAAGACCCCACAACCTCCCGAGGAAACAACTCCCAAGATGCCCTGCATGGACACAATAGGCACCTCTTTCCACAACTATGGCAAGGAGGCCACAGCAAAACGTTATAAACAAGACAGTAAGGACCAGTTCCCAAAATGCTCTGGAGCAATTCTTCCCAAGATACCTCGGGCCTATAATGACCACCTTTTATGTCAGAGAACTCAAAGCTTCCAGGGTGCTCAGCGGAGGGTGTATTACAAAAATTCCCCACAAGGAACTAGGATAATCCTTCCCAGAATGCACCAAGCCTGTAACGCCTAGCAGACCGACTCCCACAGTGCTACATGGGCCTGGGAGCGAGCCCCGTTTTCCCAGGATGCCACAGGACGACACGAAGCCGCGTGGGGGGAGAAAAGGAAACCTGGGTTTCGCCCTCGAGCCATCACGGCCCAAAACCACTGCCAGCTGCTCGGTGGCTGGCGCCGTCACTCCCATCATGCAAAGGGGCCATAGCGCCCGCTACCCGGCATGCCGCGCGCACCCTTACCCCGGACACTCACCGGCGCTGGTGGCCCCAGCTCCGGCTCGGCGGCGGCGGCTGTACGCCTGGGCTCTGCGCCTGCGCTGCAAGTAGGTTAGGAGGGAGCGCAAGGGGCGTTTAGGGCCTAGGGCGCTTGCGCGACGAAATGGACCGTTCCTGTCGCAGTGTGAGAAGAGGGGCTCTCCCGGTCTGGCTAGCGAAGAGGCCCACTCAAGGGGTGGCGGGCTTCGCCCCTCACTGGTCTAGTTCTCTTGGTACACTCCGAGGGTAGAACGAAAAGCTGCTGGGCACGCGTCTGCGGGTGCGGAGCAGGAAAGCGCCTTATAAAAATGGGAAAGGGTGGGGGTCGTCGCTTGGGTCTGCATCCGGGACCGGAGGCCTTTTCATTTGCATAATCCTTTCGCAGGACAATGGGAGGCCTCCTGCGCTGAAAGAAATGATTTGCATATTCCCCGGAGAAGCGGTACACGCCGGAGCGCAGTGATTAGCATAGCGGGGGTGGGGCCTGAGCAATAGCGCGTGCGCACTGGGACTGCGGACTAGCGCGGAGCTCTCTCCTTGTCTTGGTTGGGGATCAATTTGCATCAGGAGAGGAGTCATCAGGGCGGAAGCCCTTACCAACACCCCTCCCCCCAAACAGGATAAATACTGATTTTTTTTTTAGGTGTCAGACCTTGTACCATGGTTTTCTGCAGTGAACAGAATATACCCATCCTCTACCCACTTGGCTCCCAGACAAAGGGTATCTTGCGAATGGTCAGACAATGGTCAGACCTGGAAGGGGTGCAGTATAGGAGGCTGTCCCAGTATGTGGTTCAAGAAAGGCTTCCAGGAGGCAGTGAACTTGAAGCCAAGAATAGGCTACAGTTAGAATGGGAATATTTTTGGAGCCGAACAGGCAGAAGTTAGTGTGTCACCTGCTCTGTAGAGTTTTCATAGCTGTGACCTTTTGGAAATGTATTATGGTTTGCATTCACCCAGGGACTCAGGCTTTCACAATCAGACTTTTATCCTGAAACTTTAAGGAGCTCTTGCAGTATTCCAGACTTGCAGGAAGAAGTGACGTGGTCACATGCTAGCTTTCCAGTGGAATTCCATGGCACTGAAGAAAAAAATCCAAACTCCTTATCAGGTCTAGGCAGGCAATCCCGGCGTTAGGAACAGGATCCATTCCTAAGTCTGTCTTTAAGTCGAATGTGTAGGTAAGTTAGAACAGGTACATAGTTTTTACTTAGCGTCATTTAGTCAA